AAAAACAGCATTTTAATAACAGCTAAAGGTGTCATAGATACTTTATTATGGTATAGTATTTAAAAGTATGCCTGAGAAACACATAATATTGGCCCTTTAATGGTTTTTGCGCAATGACGCTTTATGGTGTTTGAACGTTTTATGACAGAATGTTCAGCTAAGGGTACAATGTCACACGCCAGCTTTTGGAGTGTCTAAACCTTTAGTTTCTTTGCATAATCTTATTGTCAGTTTTTATACTTTGTATACATCAAAAAGTAGACATGTCTTTCACACAGTATTTTTCTCACTGCTTCAAGACTTGTGGTTTTCTCTCACACAGAGCAGAATGCACAGATCTAAACCATTGACTTTTACTGGTTTTGGGTTCTGAATTTTCTCGTCAAAACTAGAAATGAAGCCTTTTTTTACCACTTCAGTAGAAAGCAGAACTGAATATCTGAGTATTAGTATCTTAGCTTCTTCATCATCAGTGGCTTTTTTAAAGAAGAAAAAGTAAGAGAATAGTGAAATGTAATAGAAAAGAGTGAAAGAGAGATTAGAAGATATGTGTAATATTTATAAAGAAACCACAAGACAACACACCCGACATCTTGGCTGTACACCTACAAAATGAACAAAATGAAGTCTTTCTTCTGTGTCGTCTCCTACATAAAACACTGCAAGCACTTGTGTGACATCCAATAAAATGTAGAGTTTCAGCACAGTGATTGTTTGAGGTTTATTTTCCACTGTTTCTGAAGTCTTGAAGTCTTTGAAGTCCCCGGTGTTTTTTAAGGTGTGGGGTGTCGCAGACTCTGAGATCAGGTGATGTTTACACTGCACACAGGTGGACGTAGGTGAACTAAATGAGACTTCTGTAATGTTTGTCCTCTAAAGGGTACAGAGCACAGTTTTCTCTTATGTTTTGATGTGGATCTGCCTTATCTTCACTGAACATTTGCACTGAACTTGCATCACCCCCTAAAAGAATTAGAACGTCCTGCATTCCTGCAAATTCATTTGAATTCCTGGAAAAGGTAGGTTGATTTATTCTAGTTATGGAAATAGCACGGCTTTAACAGAAGCTGCTTTGTGTTTTACCTTGAGGAAGTTTCCATGTTTTTGTGAGTAACACAACATTAGCCATGTTTTTAAGGCACTCACTGCAATCAGATTGCATCAGGACAGCAAATTAAGCACTGCAGTGATGCTATGGTCATTATGCATTCACACAATGTAATTATGTTACTCTTGGTTCAAAAACCTAGATCATTTTAAAAGCACAACTAACTTGAAAGTCCACAATCAGCGATGAAATACACAACTAGAAGCACTTGAAAAGCGCATACGGCTGCCAAGAGCCAAGGTTATGCAAATGAAAGCATTCAGCTCACTGAAGCTTGTTGTTTTTTTCTTTCGGTTTCTGTTTGTGCCAGATCACGGCGAGTTGCAGCTCTGACAGATGTTGGCAGATCACCACCAGCATTTAATCCGTTGTTCTTTGTGAAAACTCCAACGTGTTCGGACAGGTTTTTTTTAAAATTTAATCTATAATTTTGAGTGAGCAAAGAATCTGTTCCAAGATGAGGCAGAGAAGGATCAGGGTCAGCCTGCCATTGGCTGCTCTTGTAGTTTGTTGTATTCCTGATGCCCTCCACATGTTTTGTTGGTTACTGTTATTAAATTGCTCCTCAGGGTGTCTCTTGTACAAACGTTTGGCAGCTAGTTTCAGGCTCTAATAAAAGCAAATGTATCCCTTGGCCTGTACACAGTATCCCAGGCTTTGAGAAGGCGATCTCTACTGTTCAAGCGTGGTTTTTGATTTGGAAAAAGCTTGTTGGACTTAGTAGATTGGGCAGAATTTGTACAGAATTCTACAAAACAAACTACATCCCTCTAGATTTGTTCCCTATTTAACAACTCTCCAGGCTGTGTGCTTCAAACAGAAGCCTTCTCAGTCCAGAGCAGCACTGCTTTCATTGCCGTCTTGATGTCTTGAACATAAATGCGATTATTTATTTTTGTTGTGGTTCTGAACAGTTTTCCTTGTTCTCAGGATTAGTTTCTGTTGCACAGGTCTTACCTGTGCGAGCCAGAGGGAGTAAGACTTTCAGAGCCTGCTGAAGCAGCTCGGGGCTGTCTGGGAATGTCTTCAGAGCAGAAAGAACCACAACATGGTCCCGGTTCTCCACAAAGTCCACGAGTTGGTCATCACTCACTGAAAACAGAAACGTAAATAAAATCTACTGAAGTTGATTTCAGCCACAGTGAAATAAAAACAAGTAAACACAATGTTTTAAAGTAAAGTTGGGTTTTATGTTAAGTTTATAACCAAATTAGTATCTTACCTATTGTTGATAGTTCTTTGAATGACCTTAGCTTCAACAAACAGAGTTTAATTCTAACCAGACTGATGGGTTAATGGCTAGTCCTAGAGAGGCCAAAATCCAAGGTGGATTGACGGCATCTTAAGATAACTCATTGCACTTATTGCAAACATTATTTTACAAACTATAACATCACAGTTCATGTCACATGACATGTTTACTTAAATAGACTTTAATGGTTACAAATAGGGCAGCACAGAGGAGCAGTGGTTGCCTCACAGTGAGAGAGGGTTGCAGGTTTGCCTCCAGGCCTTTCTGTGTGCAGTCTGCATGTTCTCCATGGGTGCACTGTGTGAGTTTTATCATTGTGATTTGATCCCTTTCCACACACCAAAACATACATGTTAGGTTAGCTGGTAACTAAAGTGTCCCTAGGTGTGGGTGAAAGTGTGAACGGTTGTTTATCTCATTTGTGTTTTCTGTAGTCTTGTGATGGATTGGCGACCTGTCCCGTGTGTCAATGAGAACATCAGCCCTGTGACTTGGTAAGAAGAAGTTTGTAAAGTAAACTGGTGGATGGTTACAAAATAGCAAATGACAGCAGCAGCTAACTGTAGCATTTCCAGTGCAGTCTGAGAGCATATTTTTGCTTGAATGTTATTATTTTTCTTCCAGAATACAGTGTGTAAAACGCTGTACGATGCAAAACTACCACCACTGTAAAGGTTTTTAAACAATTTTTGAAACTACTAAGAGGTTTTGAAGAATGGAACCCTGTTTCTCCATACTGAGGTTGTTTAAAACAGTGGCTCCCCACCTACTTTCCTCAACGTTCCCCCGTTCCTACTTCCAAACCAAGCTGAGCTCCATCCTCCCCTCTTCAATCCCTCGCTACTCCAAACCTCTCCCATGGCTGCTTTCAAACTTTATCTCTTTATCAACATAATAAAAAAGTTAATAGTTACAAACTTTTATTTGGAAAAAAGAAAGACTTGTTGAGCAGTTTAACCAGATTAAAATTAGAAGATAAATATAAGGATGTGAACTTTTAACAGCTGATGACAGGGATGTAAACATATTAGCCAATAGCATGGTAGCACATTAGCAGGCTAGTAAGCTAACATTTTCCATGCTCTGTTGGATTCAGAAAACATTTAATCAAATTTGAGTTGTCTCAAATTGAAAAATGTGAAGCATTTTTTTCTTTTTTTTCAAAGTACTTAAAGTGTTTCAGGCAAATTTAAAAAAAACTGCAAGAGACACAGAGGAGCATGGTCGAGTGTGGGGATGAGTGGAGGACGTTAAGCAGGGGTGTGTGTGTTCAGGACAAAGGGGAAGTGACAGCTGGCTTAATTTGACATTAGCCTCATTCACAAGAAGACAGATCAGTGTGTTTCTACCTCTGTCCAGCAGCGGCTGCAGAACTCCACAACCCTGGAGCTGCACTTCCTCACTGGAAGGAAAAGCCTTCATCGCTTGCACCACCAGGCTGAGCACATCCTCTTCCTCATCCAGCACCAGCAGAGGAACTGTGTCTGAATGTATTTAAAAATATAAAAAAAACACCACATATATCACAGGTGACATTTCACTCACCACTGGCTTATTTCAATTATGGACAAAATGTGTTACACTGAACAAGAACATTTCCACAAATACAAATGTTTCAATACTACCATCAGACTGGATGTCTTTCCATAGATTTTTACTTTCCAAACTGTATTTTTGATAACAAATACAAATAAATCTTTATCAGAGTCAGAACAAGGAAATGTGATTGATTAAATGCACAGCTGCTGAAAAATCACTGAACTGTTCTGATCAGTGACTCATGGATCAAAACTTGAATCATGAATATACTTTGTTAGAAATTAGCAACAAGTTGTTCTGATCTGAAATGTTGCTCTAAAAATAGATTTTCACTCTAGTCAGCTTGGATGAGGGAAACCCCACATTCCAGATAACTGGTTAGATAAGTACAACTGCTTTTAACTTTAAGCTGCCTTCCTACAGAGAAAATGTGACATGTTTAACTTTTAAATTGCCTTAAATACTTACATTGATCAGAACAGCCTCAGCGATAAAGTCATTGATCACCTTGTTACAGAGCAATACTTGTTTGAAGAACCATAAAGTGACAGGTGATTTTAACGCAGAGGTTTAACTCTACCTGAAATTTACCTGGAAAGTCAGAGTGAAAGGCAACACATTCCTGAGCGCCTGTGCCCGCAGCAGCACTCACCTGATCTGAGCAGCAGGGCCAGTGCTCGGAGTCCAACCATGGTCACTCGACAGTCTGAGCTGAACAGAGACAGCACCTTCAGCACCTGCCTAGGAACCAAATCAGGACAAGAACAAATCAAATCAGGGCTGCACAGTCTTTGTTTTTCTGCAAATGAAACATTTTGTTGCCTTAAATTGTAACATTTCAAACTACAATGATTTTGTAAAACCAAGGAACAGCTGATTGGTCAAACCTCAAAAATTACATTAGGGCAGAGTTTGCCATGACCATGCTTGGCGAGGGCATTGCTGTGGGCAGTTTGCCGTAGTCGTGATTGGCAGAGGTTTTGCTGTGGGTGGAGTTTGTCCTAACCGTGATTGGAGGAGTTAATGTGTGGGTGGAGTTTGTCCTAACTGTGACTGGCGGTGTTAGTGTGTGGGCAGAGTTTGTCCTAACCGTGATTGGCGGTGTTAGTGTGTGGGCGGAGTTTGTCCTAACCATGATTGGCGGACTTAATGTGTGGGCGGAGTTTGTCCTAACCGTGATATGTGGAGTTAGCGTGTGGGTGGAGTTTATCCTAATTGTGATTGGCGGCATTAGTGTGTGGACGGAGTTTGTCCTAAACATGATTGGCTGAGTTAATGTGTGGGCGGAGTTTATTCTAACCGTGATTGGCTGAGTTAATGTGTGGGCGGAGTTTGTCCTAACTGTGATTGGCAGAGGTCTTTCTGTGGGTGGAGTTTGTCCAAACCGTGATTGGTGGAATTAATGTGTGGGTGGAGTTTGTCCTAACTGTGATTGGCAGAGTTAATGTGTGGGCGGAGTTTGTTTTAACCATGATTGATTGGATTGACTTGTCTTGTGTGGCAACTTCAAAGAGGAAGTAATGCTAATAGTAAAAAAAACATGATTTATTGATGGTCCATGTACAGTTTAAAACAGAACAATGACTCAAAATTATTGTGAACATGTAAATTTAATTTATTGACTTACCTGCGGCAAGAACCTTCCTGTCTCAAGTTATGACTAATATTGTTTTGACCGAGCCAAATTCCCTCCACGTGTGACGCTCAATGTTCGTGTAGCTAGTACCTTCCTGTCTCAAGTTATGAATAATATTTATATTTAAAAATATATAGGTACTTCCTGGCCAATTCGACCAAGCTACTCCCAGCTGGCCCCAGCTTTTTCAAACCGCACCCCAGATCTGAGGATTCTAACGAGGATACAGAGTGAAAAACTGGAGACCACAGATAAAAATATCTGAATGGGTCATTATTTTCACCAACATAAAACAACTCTGACTAATCAAACTGTTAGTATCATGTTATAAGCAATAAAACCACAGATTAATTTTAATTTAATTTAGACATGATTAAAATAAAATTATTTAGTTATTGGGTTCAATGAGACTCTTTTTCTAACAGTTTATGAAGATTATCATTATCCTGTCTGGACATCTCCTTATGATTTAAGTGAAAACTTTCAGGTGAAACAAGCTCCAATGAAAAACATTCAGTCACGTTTGCACAACCAGTCAGCCTGGCATCACTTACTGGTGCACTGCCAGCACCTCCCACTCCACGGCGACATCCAGAGGTCGGGTGAGCTCCTCCAGCGTACTGGGACATATTTCAATCAGCTGACACAGCAATGACCAACCCACCTGTTCAAACAAAAAACTCACTCTTTATTTGAAATATATATATACAGTATATAGAAAAGTCTACTTTCCTTTCATTCTTGAGTTGTGTGCATCAGGACACCATAACAATTATCTGGTCTTTATCAGATTCTGAAACTGGTCAAATCCAACCTCAAGTGTACAAAAACACAACAGATCCATCATTTCATTCATTATAAACAAAAATAAAGTTAGAATTAGGGGTGCACCAATTTCCTTAATTTTGGGAGATCGGCCAATGAGACTGGTAGAAAGGATCGGCTTCTCGTCTACCTACACAAATGTCTGACAATCAGTCACTGTCCTCTTTTGGTCTGCTGTGAACACTACCTCATGTCCTGTTAAAACAAGTTGTATTGTGACCTTAAAAAATCGGTCTTGGTCAAAATTGGAACCAGCTGGTCATAATTTTTAACCTGCCAAACCCAAATTAAATTAAGTATTGCTCTTGAACCTTTTGGAGTAAATTCACAAGCCTAGTCTCTATGTAAAGCTATCAATCAAAATTTTTTAACTTCAGCAGTCATAATTTCTGTAACTGTAACTAGTATTTAGTTATTGAAGTTAAAATACACTATAAGCATCAATGTTTTTCTCATTCTGAAATCTGTAAATTGAATAAAAAGTAACATGACTGGCTACACAGCTGTGGTGTCAGAATGAAGCTCAGAGCTGATTCGCCCATTCTAGTCAATTAATCACGTGTACCACATATGGGTGGGACATGAGGGGCTCGCCACACAGTTTGTGCTCTGCAGAGTCTATAGATCAGGGATGCCCAAACTTATTCCCTCAGAGGGCCAAAATGAAAATCTACCCAAAGGCTGCGGGCCAAATGCAATAATATAATAGAGGAAATGCTAATACTTCTTAAGTAAAGTGCTTTTACTTTTTATGATTAAACCAAGAGCCAGTGCAGTGGCCCATGTTTTGTTTGTTTGTGTTTTTAATCTGTACACTTGCTCAGGCAGCAAAGGCTCATGGGACATTTCATATATTGATAAAATATGAGTATTTGTAGTCTTATAAAGTTTTCAAATCTACATGTGTGCTTAAATCTAATTTAAATATCTTCTTTGGTTTCTTGTGTTTTATTCATAATCTTAATATAATTCAGTGACAAAGTCAGCTATCTGTGCTACAGTCCCTTATTTAGTCATTGGGCCATTGGATGTAATTACTATACATGGAAATACAGAGTTTCTACAGAGGATGACAGACAATTAAAAACTACTGGTGGGCCAAATCAAATGGCTTGGCGGGCCAATTTTGGCCCGCGGGCCCCACTTTGGGCACCTCTGCTATAGATGAACCCGGTTAGTCGAAAAAGGTGTCAATCGAAAGAACACAACCAGTCACATTGTTTCAACAGCCTATTGTGCAAATTCAAAATACATGGTAGTGAGTGTCAGGCTATAAAGAGGCAGGAAGTAACAACACACTGGAAATGTACATTGAGAGTTAAGGGGTTAAAGATTGATTATTGGTGATCAGCCAGAAAACTGCAATCGGTGCACCCCTAGTTAGAAGGCTGTATATGAAGACACTAAATCCACCGTTGCTGCTTCCACAGAATTTAAAAGGCAAAACATCAGCCAGGTGCTGTTGATCAATTGTATTAATTTACTTATCATCATAAATTTGATCACTTTTATAAGAGTCTTGTAAGTTGCTGCTTTGGATCGTACAGGTATGTGTGTGTGTTAACAAAAGGCTAAGGTGGAAAGACATCAGCGATGACTTTAGAGAAGCAACTGTTGCTGCCTAAAAACTTGGGAAGGGTTAAAGGTCAACAGATTATTCACAAGGGAGTAATCATATTTAAGATTGCTGCCAATCTACTCAGGAGTGGAGGTCTGGCAATTTACCCCAAGATCAGACTGTGCAGCACTTAGTGAAAGTATGGCTTCAGTTAGCAAGTTAAATGTTACAGTTCATGACAGGACAATTAGAAAGCAGTGAACAAATGTGGCTTTTTGGGGAACTTATGAGAAAATCTATTTTTTTCTAAAAAAAAATTAATTAATTAAAAAAAGACATGACACCATTTGTAAAGACTTCTGGATCGTTGTCCTTTGGACAGATGTGAACAAAGCGAAGATGTTTCCCTATAATGCTAAATGCCATATTTGGTCCAAAAAAAATACAGATCAGTACAAACATCTCCTACAACTGTAAACAACGGTGGTGGAAGATTGATGGTTTGGGCTTATTTAGCAGCCACAGAACTTAGTCGACCATGAACTCCTCTGTAGGCCACCTGAGAGCTGAAGTTTGGGACAAACTGGGTCATGATCAGTGGCGTCACCAGGCCTATTTTAGGGGGTGACGGTGCGCAGCGCTGCGGCTTCTGAATAAATGAAAATGATTTAAMACTGTTGTTTATACATTTAGCAGCTCTTTTTTATTCCACAGCTGACCTGCTAAAAATGACAGATTTTCTTTTCTGGATCTCTGACAGACGGACTTCAATCTCTGAACTCGTAAAGTTCTTTTTAGTTTTCGCTGTCATTTTCATGAATGAATGGACACTTCCTTGTATCTGAGGCAGGAAACATAGCCTTATATGGTGTTTTTGGGGTGGTAATTATGCTAATCTCCTCTCGCGTGCACGAGCAGCTGGACATGAACAGGTGGAATTTACGCAGCTCATTTACACACTTTTCCTGAAGATAGAAGAGTATGTAGAATCTGACGTGACATGTTCGTACGAACCCTTCGTAACAAAAGTAAGAGAAATTTAGGATAARAATACGAACATGTTCTTGCATGAGGCCCATTGTCTTGCTGAAATGTCCAGCCACGTTTCATCTTCATCATCCTGGTAGATGGAAGCAGATTTTTATCAAGAATGTCTCTGTACATTTTTCCACTCATCCTTCCTTCAATTATTTGAAGTTTGCCAGTACCATATGCTGAAAAACAGCCCCACACCATGATGTTCCCACCTCCAAACTTCACTGTTGGTATGGTGTTTTTGGGCTGATGTGCAGTGCCATTTGACCTCCAAACATGATGTGTATTCTGGCATCCAAACAGTTCAATGTTGGTCTCCTCTGACCAGACTATATTCTCCCAGTATTACACAGGCTTGTTTAAATGTTGTGCAGCAAACTTTARAGGAGCTTCAACATGCTGTTTCTTCAGCAGTGGAGTCTTGCGTGGTGAGCGTGCATACAGGCCATGGTGGTTCAGTGCATTACTTATTGTTTTCTTTGAAACAAACGTACCTGCTAATTCCAGGTCTGTCTGAAGCTCTCCACAAGTGGTCCTTGGCTCTTGGACAACTCTTCTGATCATTCTTTTCACTCCTCTGTCAGAAATCTTGTGAGGAGCACCTGGTCGTGGTCGGTTTATGGTGAAATAATGTTCTTCCCACTTCTGAATTATGGCCCCAACAGTGCTCACTGGAACCTTCAGAAGTTTAGACATTCTTCTGTAACCGATGCCATCATTATGCTTTGCAACAATAAGGTTGTGAAGGTCTTGAGAGAGCTCTTTACTTTACCCATCATCAGATGGTTCTTGTGTGATACCTGGCCATCATTTGGGACTGAACCAGCTGATATTAACTTGCACTGACAAGGGGCAGGCTTGCTTTCTAATTACTGAGAGAGTTCAGCTGGTGTCTTGGCTTTCCATGCCTTTTTACACCTCCCTTTCTTCATGTGTTCAATACTTTTTCCCTGTGCCATTCCACATTATTACAAATAACTTCATTTCTGGACATTTATGGTTTGATTTCTTTGTATGTATGGATCACTTGGGTTGTTACCAACATTTGGTGAAAATTTCATGTCATTAGCACCTCTAGTAATATATGTACTGAGAAAAATGGTGACGTGTTCAATACTTATTTTTCCCATTGTGTATATATATATATATATATATATATAAAAAGATACACACACAATACAAATATATAATATACAAAAATTCTGTGTGTCTCCTAGGGGCTATGCCCCCTTGTCCTTAAAACCTAGTGACACCCCTGGTCATGATGCAACAGAAAAACATTCCCAAACAGCAGCCATAATATGTTCATGTATTTTTGTTCTCACGGGGTTAGATTTGAATTATTTTACAGTCACCAGACAGTAAAATTATTCAAATCTAACCTCAAGAGAACAAGCATCAGATAGGTTTATAGTTATTAATTTTCTGCTCTGACACATAAACCTTTATACTGACAAAAGTCGACTGTAATATTTGACCAGACAAGAGAAAGATCAAACCCAGAGCTTTTCAAACTGAAAGAACATTTTAACATGCAGGAGCTCTCTGAACTTGTCTGAGCTCGTACAGCCTCTTCACGGGACTTTCAGTTTTGTTGTGCAGCAATCTCATCTCTGATGAGCTACACTTCACTGCTGTCACAAGACGCCATAAACAACTCGGCACAAACAGCTCATTTATGGTTACCTCTCACACCATATGCTTTCTGTTGTTTTTCTGCTGCATAAAACCGAAGCCCGCTGCATGAATGAAATGAAATGAAATTAAAAGCTCACAAAGAACCTTTTTAAAAAGAACACAGCTTACCCGCTGGACTCCTATGCTGCTGATGTAAGTGGACAGCACCACCAGGAGGGGAAGGTGGACGTTTTGGGCTTCGAAGAGCTCGGCTGCTGCAAACAGAAAGAAGCAGAACAGAGAGCAGGATGTTAACATTAAATAATCTGGAGGTTTATTTGTCTTTAATGTGCTTATAAAGACATGTTGATGACCGAATGAAAAAGGAGTATTGCAAGAAAACTATTACTGTAAAACAAAATCAACTTCAAGGATGTCAAAAAGAAATGCTAAAAAGATATTTACATTTGAAACTACTGGATACAACGTTGAAAATTTGAATTTCATAATCATCAAATTAAATTCACATTTATCTAATTTTCTACTTTGAATTTGATCAATAAAGAAAGTGCCTACATTTTACAACAGGGCTCATTCTAATCTAAACCAGTTCAAGTTTAATTTTATTCATATCCCACAAAAACACATCCACGAAGAACATGACATTCATTCTTAGTACCACACAACTACACATATTAAGATAACTCATGCTCAAGTGCAATAAAGTGCATTTCGCTCCCAAGACAGCAAAACCATAAAATATGTGTTTCAAAAATCTAAAAAGTGGTCTTGGTGTTTGACTCTTAATTTTAGCCCCTGGCTTTATTTGGGACACAGTTTTTAACATCATTATCAGGTCAGTGTGGATGATGGGTAACCCTCGAAAATATGTTAAACTTTGGAGCACCTAAAGTCAAATCAGATTATTCACAAACAACTGCAAAGTCTGCACACTTATAAATATATTTATATTAGAATAAACAGAAGGTCAAATCAATTACATCATCATTGCCGCTTTGCTGCTAACTTTAGGTTAGCTGATAATAAAGTCAGTAAAAATGTTTACTGAGCCATAACTATTAGGTTTAAAGAGAAACACACACACGAAGTAGGCCTGTTTATCACCAGCATGATGCACACACACACACACAGCACAACAATCAGAATCGTACCGCGGTCAGTGTGCGCCAGGAAAAGTAGATCCTGGATGATTTGAATCAGAGCAGGCAGCTGACTCTCCTCTTTGGGAGTTTTCAGCCTCACCAAAAGCTTCTTCAGTCTTTCCTCCAGCTCCTCTTTATTAACCATGCTCTTCAAAGTGACGTTTCCCGGCTGAAAACTTGACGCGCATTGACTGAGTTCAGTCAGCGTGGACAAGAAAACATTGAACCTCCACAGGACACCGGGGAGCTCAGCATTAGCTCCATGTTACAGTAGCTCCAGCGGGCTGTCATGAATGGAGGAAGCTGTCAGAAGGGATCTGCCCCGGCGCTGACATCACCGGCCTCCGTACTTTTTTTTTTTTTTTTTTTTTTTTTTGTGGCGAAAAGCGCGTTCCCTTATGTCGATCCAGAGATTTTCTGATATTTCTACGGTTCCTGTGTTGTAAAGGCGTGTTCCTGCTTCCCTGCGGTCACATCATATGACTCAAATCAACTAAAAATAAAAAATAAAAACCTTCCCGTTTATAGACGAGGTTTGAAACCGTGGCTGGGAAGACCAAAACAAGTTAGCATGCTTTCATTAAAAACCCAAACAGCGCGTGAGGCAACCATCTTGAAGTCGTAATGTTTATACAATCTACGCAACATCATTTTATTCTTGGTACAGATTTATAAAGAAGGCTAGATAGAATCGAAACTGATGTTCATGGTAAAAAAAAAAAAAGGCTGTATAATTTGAAAAACAAAGCATGGTCTTCCTAATTTATCGGGCATATTCAGTTTAGGAAAAAAATGCGCATTTACACTTCTTATTACGGTATTCACTATACCCACACAAAAGGAACCTGTATGGAGGTACAGTGATGCCACAAAAATAAAACTGAATACAAAACAAACATAAAAAAAATGGAATAAGCACATATAAAAAACAAGATGTATTTGTATTATAATTCTGTATTAATTCAATTTAATTCAAAAATATTTTATTGATCCCAGAGGGACATTAGATGTAACTCATTTAACTAAAGAGTTATTGTAGATGGTGATGGCTGTGGGGAAGAAAGATCTTCTGTATCACAAAGAAATTGAAGAATTCTCTGACTCAAGACACTGTTTTTCTATGACAGTCTGATGAAGAGGATGGTCAGAGTTGTCCACAATGTTCTTGATTTTATGTAAAATCCTTCTTTGCACCATCATCTCCAGAGATTCCACAGTCGTCCCCAGAACAGAACCAGCCTTCTTCTTCTTTCTTTAGCCTTTTAACTTTTATTTTAAAAGAAACATTAATTTAGTTTATTATTTATTTATTTTCCAATTTCTAAGCTATGATTAGGAAATGCTCCCATCAGGTCCTCAGAAATGTCCTGTTTGCTACCCAAATATTAAAGAACAATGTAGTCACAAAACAGGGACACACACATAGTAGACTTATTGACAACCTGTTATGAATACTTCAAGAGAATGGGACATTAAATACGTAATATAAACATGTATATTATACATTACCACACTGTATATTGTATAGTACACCAATTCTAATTAAGTTGGGACATTGTTTAAACATTAAAAAAATAAAGTTGTTTTTTAACATTAAATATCCTGTCTTTGTAGGGTATTCAACTGAATATAGGTTGAAAAGCATTTGCGAATCATCATATTCAGTTTTTATTTATGTTTTAAACAGCATTAAAATTGGGGTTGTAGATTCAGCACCAGGTAGCCTACACCAATATATTAGTCCTTAATAGTCAAAAATGACTATAGACTGGCTACAGTGAGCCACTTTGGTGATCCATGACACATTTGTGCTTTTGTCTATATAACTAACTGTCATGTGTGAAATAAGTGGTGGTATAGATGTAATCAGGTCTTAAACTGATACTTTCAGGAAATGTTTCCTGGTGGTTTCCACTGTCTTTAAATATGCAAGCAAAAAAGTGAAGTGAGATCTAACGAGACAATCGTTTTCAGGTTGGGGAGTTTTTCACAGACATTCTAACCATTTGAGGTGATTTACCTTTTTTGCCTCATTGTAGCAATTTATAGTTCCTGTGTTGAGAATGTCTTGGTTCCTCTTTTAAGTAAAAAGTTTCTTGGCTCAATATGGACTCTATAGAGTGATTTAAATGAATGTTTGTATAAAAGAAAGCAATGAGTGGTTGTACGACGTGAACTTACTATTCAAACTATTTTTGCATTGCTAAATTAGAACTTACCTCTCATCATTATCTGCTAAGACCTGCTCCTGTTTAAACAAATTAGACTGAGTTGTTGTGGTTCTTACTCTTATACTTTATTTTTTCAATTTGTAGCACTCGTCCAAACTGTGTTTTAAGGATTAAATGAAATACCAACAGCACGTAGATTTAGATATGGGGTATTGTATTGTTAAACATGTATATATGTCTCGGCCATGCTGACATTCAGCCAAATGTTGCACAATCTTAGCATTCTCCTGGCGATGCAAAAGCAAACATGTACAGTAGGTCTTTGTTCCATAGTGGAGCTAACAGTCAGGAGTGCCTCCAGAAAGGGTTTAAATGAGTTCCAGATGGTAGCCATTGATAATCTTGGGGTGGTACACCAAAACCTGCTATAACTGAATGTCAGGAATTTTATTGTGGTGTTGTAATGTAGGAAGAATTATAGAATTGCCTTCTGCTATAAACTATTCCTATTTAAGTTAACACAAGCAACTCATTAAAACTTGTCCTCTCCTCTTAAATTCATTTTCACAACTAGCATTCTTTATAAATGCAGATCGTTTGCAGAGATTCTTAACCTACGGGCCGCGGCCGAGCGCAACGTTGAGGGCCTCAAAAGAACAAGTTTTTAACTTTGGGCCGCAGAGGGCCACGGGACGTCCTCCGGAGGACCCGGCCTGTCGTTTTGGACACAGCCTTTGATTTTGAATAAGGTGCAATACACTTTCTCACCACTAGTAGTGGTAGTGCGCCACTCAGATGTTTAACAACTTTTTTAATATGTAGAAGAAGAACCTTAAAAACCTGCCGATAATGGAAACTTATTTTAAGTTAAAAGTAGAAGCAAAGATGAAGGTAACCTATTAAAAAAGGCCAAAGTTTGTCACTAATATGAAGTACAGCTTCTGTTTTTACCATGAAATATTTTAAAAGTTCAAAACATTTTCAAATATAGTTGCAGATACAGCTATATTTTAATTTGCACTTTAAATTAATTTTTGTAGTTTATTTTTTAAATATTTTTAATGTATCTTAAAAAAACTTTAAACTTGTAAAAAAGCTGTTGTTACTGTTATTGTTTGTCACTAATATGAAGAGCAGCTTCTGTTTCTACCAAGCAAAAGTTTAAATAGGCTATATTTTCATTTGTACTTTATCAAATTTAGTTTTAGAGGTTGTTTTTTTACATTTGAAACATTTAAAG